CAGACTTCCCTCCTGTTCTTCATCCTATTGAGAACCAACCCCAGCACTGCATTATTAATCACAGTGTTGGCTAACCGTAGACCTCTTCTAGATGCAAAGTTTCCCTGAGCTCCAAGATTATTGCATGATTTTATCATGAAAGAGTGCTAAAGTCTATCTAATTCTCTGTATTTACTGAGATACCAAGTGAGAACAAAAAGCCTGAGCATGTTACAAGACTGACAGATCCTTCTATTCTTGAAACAGGGTCTCATACAGTAATCCAGGTTGGCCTGGAACTCAATGTGTAACCCAGGCTAGCCTTAACTCACAGCAGTCCTCTTACCTTAGCCTCCAAAGTGCTGGAATTATAGGCATGCGTCACCATGCCCAGCAAAAATGGGTAAATCTTAGAGAAATTATGCTAATTAAAAGAAACCAATGACAGTGACCCATACGTGACAGGGTTCCATTTAGAGGAAATGTTTGTAATGGGGCAATCTTTATAGAGATAAAAAACGGATTTGTGGTTGCTTCAATTGGGGGGGGGCGGTCAAAAGACTTGAGTGATAAGAAGGCTGATAGTGAAGGGCACAGGGATTAAAGGATGGGAAAGATGTTCTCAAGTTGTTCTAAAATTATTATGTGTGTGTATATATATGTATATATACATATATATATATGCATCTATGAAGAATTTTTAAAAACCATTTAATTTTATACCTTAAATGCATAGATTATATGGCATCTGAATCATATTAAAGATAGATACTGCAAATGGAATGAGGCAGTCACACGCAGGCACCATCTACACTTCCACACGCATGAGAGCAAGGGCCTTCTTATAATTTGCACCTAGGTCTGTCACTTTGGTTCACTGTAGCCCTGCTGTGCCTGCAGTCATTTGCCCTTACATGAAGATCCCCTTCTGCTTGTTATTGTTATGGCTTCTGGCATCAGAAGAGGCCTGAAAAAAGGACATTGCTTACATAATTCTTCCTTTACACACACACGCACACGCACATGTACACATGCAAGTGCACAGACACACACATGTTCACACGCACAGACAGACACACACACACATCACCTTTATTAATACAAAGCTAACTAGGATTTATGACAGATATCTCAGTAAGCAATAAGAAGAGAATATACTCTTTACACAGTGGTCACAGAACAAAATGACAGATTTCTTCAAGATTTAACATCTTGGTTGGCAGGCAAGATGGCTCAGAAAGTAAAGGTACTTGGCACCTAGCCTGATGACCTGAGCTCCATTCCAAGGCCCCACATGGTGAAATAAGAGAACTGACTCCCACAGTAGTATGTTGACCTTCACACATATGCTGTTACAACACAAACACACACATACACATATATACACACACACACACGTATCATGCATGTACACACATCCAGGACCTGGCAAGGCCTTAGAGGGGATAGCTGTGATGGCTAACAATCTTGCTTGTCAACTCGACTGCATTTGGAGCCAAATAAAACATAAGCCACTGGGCACTTCTGTGAAAATTTTCCTTGATTAGATTATCTGAAGCAGGAAGACCCAGCCTAGATACGACCAGCCCAGATAAAAGACATGGAAGAAGGAAACTCCCCTGGCCCCAAATTTGCTCTCATTCTTCCTGGTAAATTCATCTATCCTGTAGCTGGTTCGTTCCTTCACCATTATCAGAACCAACAACTTCTTTGGGCTTCCATTGTAAACTGAAGACCAGCCACTGGGACATGTCCTTAAAGGATATATTGAGACCTACAAGCCTCTTCCTAACTCTCGCTTCCTGGCTGCCATGAGGTGAGCATCTTTGCTTTCCTCTTTACCTCTTGCTCTAACAGACAGCTTTTCCACACATCTAAAAACAACAGAGCCAAATGACCATCGACTAAAGTCTATGCCATTGTAAGCTTAAATTAACCATTTTTTCTATTAAGTTGATTTATTTTAGGCATTTTGTCATAGTAATGTAAAGCTGACTGACACAATGACACAACTATAAATATATAACACATATAACTGATCTATACATATGGCATAACAAAAATGCATACGTACTTATTATAGTATATAATTATGTACAATGTCACATTTGTGTCAAAAGAGGACTGCCTATGTAACAATGGTCTCATAAGATTTTCCTCACAAAATGATGTTATAGCCACACTCTGATGTTCATCTAATGATAAAATTGCCTCACAATTAATTTCTCAGAATGCATTTCCATCCTGAGAACCAAAAACTCACTTTCATAATCACAGAGTTGACAAACTTACCAAATAAAAATACAGTAAAAACACCGGACACTTTGGACAAACCCCAATAGAAATGGAAAGCTTCTGAGAGTTTCTTGACTCCCCCTTCTGGACACATTGAAATGATGTTCTCAGATTTAATGAATGGGGTCTCCTTGGTTACCTTTCAGTGTCTAACAATAATCGTAACCTGTTGGGTAAGACTTAGTTAACCAGTAATATCTGTTAGGATTTTGCTGATAAAAGTAAGGAATTGTTGGTTGAAAAGGGTATTTAAGTAGATAGAGCCTGTATTCTCCTGTCTTCACTATTTGTCCTATATAATTTCATGTGTTGAAAGTTGCTGATTTGGTACTATTACTTAGTATTTAAAAAGAATTTTTTCATAAAACTACTACATATAATATTTAAATATTAATTACTAGATTTGTTAAAATGTAAGTCTGTTTCAGTAGTACTTTATTAAGTACTAAAAATTTGCATCTCTTAATATGCTTCCAGAGCGTGCCAACATGTTGGTCTTAATATGTACTTTGATTATGGCCATCTAGGTCACAGTCAATAGATATATTTATGGAGGTATCTCAGCCATATCAAAATTCAGAATTGCTAGGAATTATGTTCACTAATGTAAAATATATTTTAAACAACCTCATACTTGAGACTTGAGAATCACTCATTAATGAATTTGAAATGCCCTCTACTTTTTTCTCAGTTTTTTTATTTTCTGTTCTTGAAATCCCAGTGGAGGTCCCTCTTGCTTGATGGTTTCATTCCCACTGAGTGCAGCAAGCTCTTTATCATGGACTAAACATTCTTGCACATATCCTATCTCTCCAGATTTTATTTCTGGGGATTTTGGTTGTAAGCCTAGCTTTAACAGCTGAAACATCTCTCCAGCCCTAGATTTTATTCCTTGAAGGAAATAATTATTTACATTCTTGTAATATCAGCTCCTAGCATAATTCTTGTCTTGTTGATTGCCAGCCTAGCATTTAACAGCTGAGCCATCCTCTGAGCCCAACTAGCATAATTCTTAATATATAGCGAATGTTTAATATTTGTTTTGTATAATAATTCTGATCATAGTGGATGACCAATTTCTTTCTTGGAACATGGTTGTTCCCCAGTCTTATGGGGTTAAAAGAACCCCATAAACTCTTAAAAGATGCACTCAATTTTTAAGGCAAAGACTGCAACTCCCAACAATGACATATTATTTTTCAGAAACCCTCAGTACAGTTATTTTATGCTAGTAGTTTGAATTTTATTAGAGCAAACGGCACCTTAAAGTAATAAAAGGAATATTTTGGATTTATTATGTCTTTATCTGTGAGGCTCAAAACACTCTAAAAGCATCTCTTCAATGACTGTTATAAATATTATATACTCCTTACAAGAACAAAAAGCTGATGAGGGAGAGTTTTAATATACTTGGTCAAATCACACCAAGAAAGTGAGGGTAGCACCCCTGTAATTCCAGCACTCAAGAGGCAGGTGGATCTCTGTGAGTTCAATTTCAGCCCGATGTATATCACGTTCGAGGTTAGCCAGAGCCATAGAGGTAGACCCTGTCTCAAAGACAAAGAAAGCAGAGTGGTCCATATATAAGGCTTCAGTATTTCTATGGCCTCAAGTAATGAGTCTTGACAGGCGCACATTTTATAGAAGAAAGAAAGCCAAGATGAGAAGAAATTATTTCCATCTGGGTTATTCATTTCTTTGTTCCTCTGTATTTCTATTTGTATTGGTTTATGTATTTTATGATGTTTGTACATTCTTAAAATAGGGTTAATGTCGACGCATCATCTGACAACATTCTTATCTATTTTCCAGACATTATATTCTCTCTACCTCTATTCTGCTGTTGCAGCCGACCAAAAACAACGCCAGCTGAGGTAATGTGATAGACTGAAACCCGCATTCATTTCTCAGGAACACTACTGCTCTGAAAATTCGGTTTGCCTTTCAGTTCTCTCTGTGTAAAGTGGGAATTGGAATATACGTACAACCTACCACACAGGATGGATGAAATGACAAAAAACGACTCATAAACTTTCAAGCACCAAATAGATACGGTCGTTCCTTACGACATTCCTTTTTTACCTTAAAGCAGGAGACCACCATTGCCCAACATAAGAAGCGTCAGGGAGCAACAGCCATGGGGTGGTGATTTTCTCTCTGATAGAAGGGAAGGCAACGAGTGTATGGAACTCAAGGAACCTGGAAAAACTACAAGTCCCATGAGGCTTCACGCGCGCCACTTTCGGCTCTCAAGCAAGACGAAGCCCTGAGGCGAAGAGGGTGGGGCCTGCGCGCGCCCCGGCCTCTCCTAGTGAGTGCAGAGGCGGGCTGCTTGAGACGACTGGGACACCAAGTGGTGACACACGTGCGAGTGTGGGGCGGGTGATAAGGGAAAGACAGCTGAGGAACGGCTTAAGAAAAATAAAGCCAGCTGTGCACCGTTGCCTCAGAGGACAGTAAACGCTGCTGCGGAGGTGCCGGGCGCGCGCTCCCGGGCTCGCGCCTCATGCCTCGGGCACTTGGACGGGCCAGGGCGGGCGGGGGCGGCGCGGGCGGCGCGGGGGTGGGGCCTAAGGCGGCGCGGGCGAAGGCGGCGACCCAGACATCTGGGACTGTTGTTGTTCTCTCGCCTCACGCTCGCCTCAGTCAGTTCGAGCTGAGATCCGGAGCTAGTCTGCTGGGAGGCGGCTGTCCTGTCTCCGCCCTCTCTCCGGGTTCGCTGAAGCTGCGGCAGGAGCTGGCGCTGACTGAACAGCTCGCGGTTGGTCTCCGATGCCCTTCGTCAAGGAGGGGGTTTCTGGACCCTGGTGAGCGCACCTAGAGCCCCCGGACTCGGTGTCTTCGCCCTCCCCTCGGGCCCGCAACCCGTGTGTCTGCCATGGCTGAGAACGCAGAGGATGACCTGAACTCTAACCTGCTCCACGCCCCCTACCTCACTGGAGACCCCCAGCTAGACACGGCCATCGGGCAGTGGCTGCGCTGGGACAAGGTGGGTACCTGGTCACCCGGGCATCTGTCCCCTCTTCCTACCCACCCTCTCACAGTCCGCCCTTTCCGGTACCCACCCAGGGCTCTGCAGGCTCCGGGGGAGATGGCTCCAGCCAGCGCAGGGCTAGTGGAGTTGGGCGATGCCTCTCACCTATGCAGGGGCTGCCTCCCTGGGGCGGTCTGGGCTGGGCAGGGACAACTGCAGTCGCTTTCTTTTGTGGTAGGCAATGCCGCAGCTCGGCTTCCTCCCCTGCTACCCCTTCCCTTCCAGTGCATATCATCTCTCATTGTCAAAAATACCTCATCCTCATCATTGTATCCGTCTCCTTTCCTCTTTCTCCCTTGACTTCCTTCTCTGCAGAACCTGAAAGTGGCTTCTGGTATGGTTTTTGAACGTTATTAACCACTCACTATCTGCTTTGGTGTTGCTCTGGTGTGTTTCCACCCTCTGTCACTAGGTAATCGCTGGCTAGCTTTTCATTAGTCTATTTCACTCTTATTTTCTGGTATCACCTTTTGCTATTGAATGTGACAAGGGTTCTCCTCTTATTCCTCTGCCAGCAGTTATTTATTGGAAGTATCCTGTTCAAGGAATTGTGGCCATAGACATCTAGAATTGTCTAGTTGTACTGTTAGAGTTTGCACTATTACTTCTCAAATCTTAAAGGGCAGATTCTGACCAGATATTTAGAAATTTCTTAGGAATTTCAGAATTGCTGATGCCATCCTTTCTGCTCTTTCCCTCCCCTTGTGCAGGTATAGAGGGTGGGTTGGTGAAAGCTAGAATTAAAATGCATCCTTTTCACTTATAAAGAGGCTCTTGGAGGTTCTCTGGGAGGATGGGATGATAATCCAAGTGTTTGTTTTGTCAAGTGCATATGATACAGCTGCTAAAACAGAGAAGGCAGCACATTTAAAACTGATTAAAACTGAATTAAAGGGTTTATATGGAGGTATGTGAGATTATGTTATACACAAGAACTACCTAACTAGCTTTCAGAAAAAGTTCATTTTCATTTTTTCCCCAGATATATGTGCATTCTAGAAGGGAAACAAAACAAACAAACAAAAAACCCAACCAAATACTGAGTGTTCTAGGCCGGCCAGGAAATACTACTGGTGGTGAGAAAGATAGAAAGAGTTCTTGCTGTCAGCAAGTCTTTAGTTAGTAGATAAGGAAGTCCAACAAATAAGCAATTACAATAAAGTTTTTGGTGTTACTGGGTCATTTATTTCTTAGATGTTCTAATCATTCTTCTAGAGTCTGTCTGAATCAATGTTTCTCAAACCTGAAAGTGCTAACAGATCATCTTGGAATCTTAAGAGGCATTTCTGACCAGACAACTAGGGTGGGGCCTGACAGCCTTAGTGAGCTTCCAGGTGATTGATACCAGTTTTGCTGATTTGTGCACCACATTAAAAATAATGACACTCTTTTCTCTTTCAGTATCAGCTTTTGTCTGTATTTTCCTAATAAATATCCCAGTTGAGTGAATTAATACTTATTGTCTGTGCTATGCCCAAATACTGCCAAGATGTACTGAAATATTTAAGAACTGTAAAATGCATATAAAAATAATGCTACAACAGTTATAGTAGCAATAAACGAGGTTTCAATCATTCAATGCTTATGGGAGTTCAAAAGTGAGAGCGATCATGAAGTGGGATGGTCAAAGAAGGCTTTATGAGAATACGGAATATACATGAAAAGAACAGGGAAAGCTTGCATGAGAGAGAAAATGAAATAAACATAGGCCTCAATGAACATAAGAGGATAAAACAAAGGCTCCCAAATAAAATATAGGGAATAAGTAATAAGTGCCTTAACAGAAAAACAGATTCAAATAATTTTATTAATTATATGTTACTGATCTCTTTCTTAATGGGAGATAATGCTTTCATTTGAGAAACAAAGGTTTATCTACTGTAGATTGATACTTAAGCTAGGCTAAGTCCAAGGCCACTAGAATTTAGAGTACAAAATGAAATTTAAGTCTTTCATTATACATTGACCATACTTATAGTCTTTTAATGCGGAGAGTCCAAGCTCAATCTCTGATTAATACCAATCAAGGAATCCCAGTAGTGCTGCTGATTCTTGAAGATTGATGAAGCATGTGATAAGTTATAAATTGGTCTCAGGACTATTTGCTATTTGCCATAGTCAGCAACATTACTAATTTTAGCTTTGGTGGCTTGATATGTACATCGAAAAGTCTTCATGAAAAAAAAGATGTTATTCATGTTGAACTTTCTCAATTAGTTAACATTCAGATTTGCTAAGATGGAGAGGGAAGATTGACAGAAAGATAGAAAATTGAATGTGTGTAGTTAACACGTGTGTGTGCTGGAGCTTAGGGTACATGGAGAGAAATCTTTGGAAAGGTATGTGAAGACCAGATTGTTGAAGAACGGTAGTATATCATTAGTGGTCTTCAGCAATTAAGAGTATATGTAAGTGCTAAAAAGAAAATAGTGCTAGAACATAGGCCCTGCATAGTGTTACTCTTGCCTATAATCTCAGTGGTAGAGGCTGAAACAGTGAGAGCAGTTAAGTTTGAGGCCAGCCTGGGCTACATAGTGAGTTCCATGTCTGCCTAAACAGAGGGAGACTCTTGTTTTTTATTTGTTTATATTTGTTCAGATTTACTAGGGACAGGGTACTCTTGTGTAGCTGCTGTAGGCCAGCTTTCTATCAGCAGATTTACCAGACTTGGATGGTAACTTATAGTTAGAGCCATATACAACCTGGATACTGGCATCTGGGCTTTTATTTATTATGTTTGATTCCCTAGTTTTAAAATAAGTTCAGTCAATTCAAGGTCATAGAAACTGATGACTGATTTAAGAATACTGTTTTGTTAACTTATGGTTTATGATATAATATATGATATATATATATGATATAAAATATGATATATGGTTTATGATATAGATGCAGTAGATTAATTTCTAATTCAGGCATTTGGTAGATAACCGTATAATAAGCCAAATAATCCAAAGATTTTTGGTTATTATAAAGCCAAATCCCAGGGAATAAAACATATAACATTTAGCAGCATCTGCTTGTAACAAGTAAATGCATCCATCTCTGTGTGAGGCTATGCTATTGCTCTAACCCCATAAATCCCAGGAGTCAAGGAGTTCCTCCTATCAGCTGTGCACAGAGAACTCCATTACCAATGTGTTCTCCTATGCTCTCAGGTAAGGTTCATACCTCCTTTCTATTTCTTTCATTCAGGGCTTTCATGCGTTGTCAAGTTACAGACAAGCAGTCCTGGCCTAAAAGCTGGGTTCTTTAACATCACAACTGTCTCTTGATTCTGTTCCAATGTGAATTTTAATTCTCTGTAAGCAATTTATATCTAGGATGGTAGGCACTGGTAAAGCATGGATGGGTGGATAAGGAAGGGGGACTGAAACACAGGGCAGAGCTGCTCTGCTGATTGTAACAGCAACAATAAATGTTCTGTATATTAACAACAATGTGGAGGCAGGCATTTGCCATGGCAGTTTAAGAAATAATAAGTAGAACAATCTGGTCTCAGAGTGTAGATTTGTATTAAGAAAGAGTAGAATATGAAGTCGAAGATAGGTTAGGTTTAAAAAGAGCCTGGAAATAGAAATAAAAGATATCAATCTAAGCCAGTGATTTTCAGATGTTTAACAACAGAAAAGTTTTCGACAAATTAACCAGAACAAAAGGCTGTGAATTAATTCCTCAAGCTTATCTTATTATATAGTAAGTACCTGAGCCTGGGTAATGTATAAAGAAAGGAAGTTTATTTAGCTCAGATTGCATAAGATCAGGTAGCCACATTTGCTGGGCATGAGTTAGAGCCTTATGGCTGATGGAGTCATGACAGAAGCATATGTAAGGGATTACACAGTGAGGCAGGAAGCCAGAGAGCAGGGAGCAGGGAGCCTCGCTCAGCTCACTTGCTGTTAAATTTTCTCTCCTATTACCTCCTCTCCTCTCTTCTATAAATTACAGCTTACTCTTGTTAGAGCTCATTCACAAAATCCCTAGGGAAGTGCCTTTGGTGATGACCCAGTTTCCTCACACTAGGACTCAACTCTTAAAAGCTTCTACTACCTCAGTACCTCATACTGAAGACCAAGTCTTTGATATGGGAACCCTTGAGGTACAGGGCACATTTAAACTATAGCACTTTTACTTTTAAAAATTCTATTGTTATATATGCTTTTGAAAAATTTTAAATTTAATTACACAGATTAATTTAATCTGTGTAAAAAATTCTCAGAACAGTAACTTGCAGACGTAGAAGTCCCAACTGACTATTCTAGTTAGGAAGATGTTGGCAGAAAACATACTGTATTTACAAAACAGTTTATGCCAACTTTCCAGAAAAAAACTGGTTATTAATAACTAAGAGTCAACCTATATGAAGAAAAAAATTTGTATGAACAAGGTAAAGCAATAGGAACATTACAATGGGAACATTAAAACCCCCCAAAATTATAAATTAGAAATAGAGAATTATTTCATCATCAGATAAGAAAAGATAGTGTGAAAAAGCAATAGGAAGCAAGGATAAAGTCTAGGAAATGAAAGAAAAAAGTGATTCCTCTACCAAATGCACACACACGCATATATACGCACACATATGAGTATTAAAGTTGAAGAAACAAATAAGAAACAAATAAGTAGGTGCCCTGAGAAAAGTTTGTTATGTAATAACTACTGCAGGAGTCCATTGTGAAGAAATCCTGGTTGATAAGTTATACACTAGATTCACAGTGTATCATGAAACAAAGGAACACAATGTCTATGTCATAAGTAGTTTTTTAAAAATACTAGTTATGCAGTGAAGATGCCATGTCATTTTTATCAACATCAGAAAGGCGATTAAGCAGTCATCAATGAAGAACTGAAGGAAGGGAAAGAGGCATAATGGGTAGGTCAGCAAAAGCAAGAAGGAAGGAAATAGGACTTGAGGGTATAGCTTAGTGGTATAGTACTTGCCTAGCAGGCATGCC